AAAAGAGAATAGGGGTAGCTAAACTTATGTCAGACAAAATTAACTTCAAAATATGTAGCAAGAAACCATCAAGTCATTATGCAATCATAAAGAGGTCAATTAATAAAGAGAATAATAATAATTGTAAATATATATGCACCCAACATCAGAGCACCTAAATACATTAATCAAATACTTAAGAGAGATCTGAAGAGAGAAACAAATAAGAATACAATAACAGTGAGAGACTTCAGTGTCCCACTTTTAACAATAGATAGATCATTCAGACAGATAATCAATAAGGAAACATTGGATTTGAACTGAGCATTAGTCCAAATTACCCTAAAAGAGTATTCCATCCAATAGCAGCAGAATACACATTCTCCTCAAGTATATATGGAAAGTAAAAAATAAAAAATAAAATAGTAGCAAATGTAACAGAATAAAATCACACCAGTTATCATCTTTTACTACAATGGTATGAAATTAGAAATCAATAGCAGAAGGAAAACCAAAAAATTCACAAATCTGTGGAAATTAACATACTCCTGAACAACCTATGAGTCAAAAAAGAAATCAAAAGGTAAATAAAAAATATCTTAAACTAAAATTGAAACAGTACACCAAAACTTATGTGATACTGAAAAAGCAATTCTAACAAGGAAATTCATAGCAATAAATGTCTACAATAAAAAAGAGACGTTTCAAATAAGCAATATATATACAATATATATGTATGTATATATATATATATGTATGTATATATACACATATATGTGTGTGTATGTATGTATATGTACATACATATGCATGTATGTATATGTATGTATATATACATACATATATATGTATGTGTATATATGTATATATAAAGAAGTATATACATACATACATACATACATATATGTATGTATATATATGTATATATATAAAGAAGTATATGTATATATATATATAAAGAAGCTAGAAAAAGAATAGATTATGTGCAGAATTAGAAGATAGAGGGAGTTAACAAAGATCAGAGCAGAAATAAATGAAATAGAAACCAAAAAGACAAAAGATCAATGAAATTAAGAGCTGGTTATTCTTTTTTAATTTAATAAATCTTTATTGTTCAGATTATTACAATTGTCCCTCTTTTCCCCCCATAGCTCCCTTCCACCAAGTTCCTACCCCACTCTCTGCTCCCCCACCCCCACTGTCCTCATCCATAGGTGTACTCTTTTTGTTCAGTCTGTTTCTGCACCCCCACTTCCCTTTTCCCTCTAGAATTGTCAGTCCACTCCCTTTCTATGCCCCTGATTTTTTATATTCACAAGTTAATACTGTTCATCAGATTTTTTATTTCCTTGGTTTTTAGATTCACTTGTTGATAGGTATGTATTTGTTGTTCATATTTTTTATCTTTATCTTTTTCTTCTTCCTTTTCTTAAAGAATACCTTTCAGCATTTCATATAATTCTGTTTTGGCAGTGCTGAATTCCCTTTGCTTTTCCTTATCTGTGAAGCTCTTTATCTGACCTTCAATTCTGAATGATAGCTTTTCTGGGTAGAGTAATCTTGGTTATAGTTTCTTGCTATTCATCACTTTGAATATTTCTTGCCATTCCCATCAGGCCTGCATAGTTTCTGTTGAGAAATCACCTGACAATTGTATGGGTGCTCCCTTATAGGTAACTAACTGTTTTTCTCTTGCTGCTTTTAATATTTTCTCTTTGTCTTTGCTCTTGGAATTTTAATTATGATGTGTCTTGGTGTGGTCCTCTTAGGATTCCTTTTGTTTGGAGTTCTGTGTGCTTCCTGGACTTGTAAGTCTATTTCTTTCACCAGGTGGGGGAAGTTTTCTGTCACTATTTCTTCAAATAGGTTTTCAGTATCTTGCTCTCTCTCTTCTTCTGGGACCCTCATAATTCTGATGTTGGTATGCTTGAAGTTGTCCCAGAGGTTTCTTACACTATCTTCAACTTTTTGGATTCTTTTTGATTTTTTGGAGGAGTATTTTTTGATTTTTGGTATTCCAAATCTTTAACTTGATTCTTGCAATCCTCTAGTCTACTTTTAGGTCTCTGTATAATTTTTTTTTTTTTCAGTCAGTATATGCTTAATTTCTAGTTGATCCTTTTCTATATCCTTGAGGGTCTCATTAAATTTATTAGCCTTTTCTAGGAAATTCTTGAAAAACCTAATAACTGTGGTTTTGAACTCTATATCCAGTCTTTTGCTTTCCTCCTTTTTCCTTCAATTGTGCCTCTTTGTCTCCACATTTTAGCTGCTTCCTTGAGTTGATGGAGTTGCTTTAGTGCTAGGTGTCTTAGCAGGGCCCAGTAGCTCAGCTTCCCCAGTTACCTGAGGTGAACACTCTTGGTGCAGCCCTTTGTGGGCTGTATGTACAGTCTTGTTGTAGTTAAGCCTTGATTGTTGTTGGTATCACAGGGGGGAGTTGACCTCCAAGCTAATTGGCTGTGATGAGCAGCAGTGTTTCTGCTGGGAGGGCTTCTGTGCTCAGCTTGGATGGGAAGGAGTCTCAGGGTGGAGCAGACAAGCCTTGTTTTCCAGTCAGCCCCACTCCAAAAGGGCCCTGTTCTCAGTGCCCTGTGACAATAGCTGCATGCACCTCTGAGAGAAGGCTGCTCTTGAGTTTTGCCCACTTCCAGACAGTCCAGTTTCTCCCCGAGTGAGTCTGGTACCGAAAGACTCACCTGGAGCTGGATTTCAGTGTAGTCGAGAGGTTTTGTTTTTCTCCCAAACAAGAAAGTTAGCCACTGGGAGGGCTTCTGTGCTCAGCTTAGGTGGGGCGGAGTCTCAGGTTGGAACAGACAAGCCTTGGTTTCCTGTTAGCCCCACCCTAAGAGGGTCCTGTGGCAATGGCTGCACGCACTTCTGAGAGAAGGCTGTTCTCGAGTTTCACTTACTGCCAGACAGTTCAGTTTCTCCCTGAATGAGTCTGGTACTAAAAGTCTCACCTGGAGCTGGATTTCAGTGCAGTGGAAGTTTCACTTTCCTCCCAAACGAGAAAGCTAGCCATGCCTTTGCTGCCAGCCCTCTCATGCAGTGACACCAACAACTGCATGCTGCGAGTAAGCCTGGCCTGCACCCTCTTGCAATCTAGGACCCCTCAGAATGTCAGAGAGCAAGTTTTGGCCTGATTCTGCAGGCCAGGCCGAGGGACCCCACTGGTGCACAAATTCATGCACTGGGCCTCTAGTATATATATAAAATATAAAACAGTCAAACTCATAGAAGCAGAGTAGAATGGTGATTGCCAGAGGCTGGGGGAGGGGGACATGGGAAGTAATGGTCAAAGTGTATAAAATTTCAGTTATGCAAGATAGATAAGTTCTGAAAATCCACTGCACAGCATAATGCCCATAGCTAACAACACTCTATCATATGCTTAAAATCAACTGCAAGAATTAATTTTATGTTCTGTTCGTAACATAAAAAAATGGCCCTGGTCAGTATTGCTCAGTGGTTAGAACATTGGCCTTCACAGCAAAAGGTCGAAGGTTTGATTCCTGCTTAAGGGCTTGCAGGTTTGATCCCCCAATCCTGCTTGGGGTGTGTGCATGAGGCAACCAATCTCTCTCTCTCTCTCTCTCGCTCTCGCTCTCGCTCTCACTCTCGTTCTCACTCTCGCTGTCTTTCTCCCTGCCTTCCTTTCACTCTCTAAAAACCAATGGAAAAAATATCCTTGAGTGAAGAATTTTTTAGGGTAATAATAAAGGGGATGAGAGGAAACTTTGAGAGGTAATGGATATGCTTATGGTCTTGATTGTGGTGATGGTTTCACAAGTGTATACTGATTCCCAAACTCATGGAGTTACATACATTAAACATGCGCAGCTTTTCACATGTTGATAATACCTCAGTAAAGTAGTTTTTAAACAGCAAAGCACACCCCAGAATGAGTATTAATTATGTGATCTAAAGGAAATATACTTGCAGGTTGACACAGTGGGGGACCCCATGTGAAACCACTGGTTTATAGATACTGGACCAAAAATATCAAAATGTGGAAGCTGGACGATGGGGCTGTGACCAAGCATGGTCAAGGTGAGGGCAGGGCCATATGGATGTGGCGGTTGGGGGGTTCTGAGCCAGTTATTGGGGGGAGAATCAGAGTTTACCTGATGGCCAAGCTGAGGGCTAGGTCCATTCAGGGGCAGGAAGGCATGTCTATGCACACCATGTAGGAAGGCCAGGCTGTCCCCGAGTCTGGTGTGGCATGTGTGAGCTGGGGCAAGGAAGGCAGGCAGAGAGCCTTGGATGTTGGATTGCAGTGCAGCCTGAATCCTGATGGAGACGAGTCCAGAAAAAAGCACCAGGGTGGTCTTATAAAGAGGCAGCAGTTCAGTTGCTGTAGAGTCTGGGCTGGTGACCGATGTGGATAAAGGGATATACATTGAGGTGCAGGGATACATGGTACCCCCAGCCAAGCAACGGGAAGCCCACTGTGGTTTGAGACTGCATTTTCCAAGGAAAGCTGGAATTCCAGTTTTGAAACATGAAATCTGATCATTTCGAGTATTGGGTTCACAACTTTGAAAACACTGTTTGGGGTAAACTGAGCAGTTCTGTGGACAGAGTCAGTCCTAGCTGACAGTTTTTATCTTTACCTTGGACTTGGGGCTCCTGAGGGTGAGGTGGCACTGGTCCATATTTGGTGCATATTGGTGTCCCCCTGTGGCCACACAGAGGCTCATGGTGTACTTCAGTTCCTGCAGGCTATTTTCAACAGTTTAGGCTAACAAGCCCCAGGTTGGAAGATGGGGATGGGAATGACATAGGTGGAGTCCCTTCCCCAGCCAGGGCTCAGCACGGTCCAGCGGCTCTGGCCTTAGTGACTAGAAGTGAAGACTCTGATTAATGGTGCCCCGAAGGCCCATCCATGACCTTCCCAGCCCAGCCCAGAACCTTGCTCTGTCAGGTGGGAGATTCTGCACTCTGGGACCCTCCTCGCTGCTCCCCCATCTTGTCTGTCTTGCTCTGGAAATCTGAACCATCTCGTCTTTGCCCTGCAGGCTGGCCTGATCCGAATGGAGGAGGAGGAGTTCTTTATCGAGCCCCTGGAGAAGGGGCTGGCAGCGAAGGAGGCTGAGCAGGGTCGGGTGCATGTGATATATCGCCGGCCATCCAACCCCAGGCTCCCTTCTCTCGGGGTGCCTCAGGCCCTGGACACAGGTAAGGCTGCTGCTGGTGGGCAGGCTGTGTGGTAAGCCCTGGATGTCCACCATGAAGGGCCCAGGCACCCCTTCCTCAGGCCTGGTCCCAGGCTCAGGCTGAGCCCTGCGAGGGGGGAGGAAGGGGTACAAGAACAGAGCCCTCTGTTTTGGGTGTATGTGGGCCACCACCTTCAGGTCTGAGCCTCCATAAAGGACAGCAAAAGCTGCCTCAGGTCCTCCTTTTTCTGCCCAAGGGCTTGCCTGGGTCAGGAAGCAAAGGAGGCCCACATCCTGAACCCATGTCTGTGACCCTGTGTCTGCTGCCCCAAGCAGCCTCTGTCCCCCGCCTGTTTGCTGTCCACTTTCCCTGCCAGGGTGGCTGCTCCTCCTGGCTGGTTTCAGAAAAATGTGGGATTGCAAGGAGAGGGAAGTGCACCACGAAGGCCCGGGGCTCTTCCCAGCAGCCTCAGTGCAGATTTACATGGTTTTGTCTTTTTCAACTTAGAACTTTCTGGGCCCAGGAGTGTGGAAGGAGCTGTGGGGCAGGCATGATGACAGCCCCTCCAAGCCCTCCAGAAGGCCAGACTCACTGACCAGCCCAAACCTTTCCAGCATTTTCAGGATCTCAGGTCATGGATTACAGTGAGGCCAGGCCCTAACCAGAGGTCCTAGATCCCTGGCCAGTGGCAGGTGGCAGGTGGCAGCAGGCACAGAGGCCTGGGTCTTGGGTCAGGCACATCGCATGTTAAAGTGAGCCCCGGAGGCCCTGCTGGGCTAGCTCGCCTGAGCTGCGATTTGCAAAGATTCTCCTCACCCCCTAGCAGTCCTGGCTCATTTATCTTAGGTATGTGACTTTCCAGCTTGACAGATAAATTGGGTGCAGCCCAGCAGAGCACCGTTCTAATTCCAAGAAGTGGTGTCAACATATCTTTGCAAAGGAATTGCTCCCTCGGGAAGCCTAGCACTGTCTGGAGCCAATCAATACTCCGGTGGTCTCCGGATCCTGGTGATAAATCGCTCTCTGCTGGGCTGTGAACAGCAGTGCCCGGCTGCCCCACTTCCCCCAGCCTCAGCCCCTCCTGCTTCCTTCCTGCCCTTGAGCTTCTCTGCAAGGAGAGGAATGAAGAAGGACCCTGTAGGGTGTGGCTGGGAGGGATAATGGGGCCCAGGAGGTACCTCAGACCAGGGACCACCAAGACCCTGGCCTTGCTCCTTGACGGCCTTCTGCTCCCGGGCAAGTTTGGGCCTCTGTCTTCCCATCTGTCCCATGGGGCTAGAAAAGCCTGGATCTGAAAGAGCTGAGGGCCTGGAGCTTTGTGCTTTGAACCTGGACTTCTGGGCGGTGGTTCCTGGAGTCTGGCTCATGCTGGGTGAGGGGCTGCCAGGTGCCTTGGGTGAGTTTCCAATCCCACATTCCATGTGGTGCTTGTCGTCCTGAACATGACAGCCCTCCCCCATGATCTGGCTGGCCTTGCATTATAGGCTGTGCTTCTGTTGGTCTTTGGGCATCTTCTGTTGTATCTTTCCCTTTCCCTCTCCCCTATCCACCTACTTTGGTGAGAGCTTGGAATGCAGAACTTAAGAAACTTCAAACTCAAAATAAGCCCAGAAACCACTGGCTTTGAAGATGCTGGCTGGGAAAGGCCAATTGCCCCATTTGCGGGGTGAGGCTGAGCTGGAAGGGGGCAGGGAGAGCCTGTCCCAGGCTGAGCTCTGGGCCTCAGCCCTGGGCTATGGGTGTGGAGGGACTTTGAACTTGGGGAGGGAAAGATCCCTGGGTTCTGTGTTGGGCACATGGTCTCTCTGTCAGGCACACAGTGACTTTTCAGAAAGCCCTGCCATCCCAAGACATGGACTGCAGGTTCAGAAGCCCACAGGCAGTGCCAATGAGGATGGCCCCAGGGGCCAAAAAAAAATTACACCACCCTTGGCCTGGCTTTTGTTTCCCTGCTTTTGACATAGATGTGCACAGAGTCTGTCTTTGCTAAAAGAAGAGCAGCAAGGAGAATGCACCAGCACATGGCCTCTGCCTGGCCTCACCAGGGGGTAGGGCAGAGCAGAGACCCTTACCTGGCTTCTCATGGTGACCTGGTGGGAGTGTGGGCTTGGGGCAGTGATCCTCTTACTGCCAAGAGAATCTAGACATTAAATTTTTTTGTGAACTCTCCAGATTTCCAAATGTTGATTCAAATTTCTGAAAGGCACCCTATGGGCCCTCTGAAAACAGCCTCCATTGGCCACCTGTGCTTGTGAGGTTCAGCAGCAAAGTGTCCTCTGGGTCCCTATAACTGCCTCTGGGCCACTGTGCCCTCCCACTCCACCTTACCCTGAGCCCTGGCTGAAGGAAGAGCAGTCAGGCAGCTCAGTGCCCGTGGCCTTGGCTGACTCCTCCTGGAAGCAGCCAGTGCCAAGCCTCTGCCCACCGTGGCATCCTCCCCGGTAGGCAGAGTGGAATGTCACCTGCCCTGTGGAGTGCCTTCCCTGACACTGCCAAGGAGAGCCTGAAAGAGAGGGAGGGAGGGAGGGAGGGAGAGAGAGAGAGAGAGAGAGAGAGAGAGAGAGAGAGAGAGAGAGAGAGAGAGAGAGAGAGAGAACAGCGTTAGCGCTGCAGTCTTCGCCCAGTGGCCCTCAGTTCTTCCTCCCCAGCTCACCTGCTGCAGGTTTTCCAGGTTTCTGAGATGCTGTCTTGGGAGTGAAGCTTGTGGTAGGTGAGCAAGGCCAGGAACCAGATGACTGGAGCTACTGCTGGTGTCTCCCAGGGGCTTCCTCCTCGAATGTTAGAGCCAAGGCAGGACGGCCTCCTGCAGGCAGTGGGCAGCCTCCAAGAGAAAGGTGCCTGATGGCTAGTGCTACATGACAGCCAGCTGCTCTGGTCTGGCCTGGAGGCAGGGAGGCAGAGGCCAGAGCAGGGGGGAAGACGGGGAGAGTGGAGCCCTGTAAGGACAGACAGATCATCAGGCTTCCGAGATGCAGTGATGTAATGGGTGACGGAGAGGTCCCTGCCAAGGCCTGGTAGGGGTGAGGGGTCAATCATGAGGTAGGTGGGGAGCAGGCCAGGTCAGGGAGGCTCTTGGCCATGAAGCAGTTAATGTCAGTTTGTTGGCCCCTGTAACAAGTTGCCACAAACTTAGTGGCTTTACACAACTCAGGTTTGTTCCTTTAGAGTTCTGGAGGTTGGAAATCCAAAATGGATCTTAAGGGGCTAAGCTTAAGGTAGCAGGGCTGGTTTCTCCTGGAGGCTCAAGGGAGGAATCCCTTCCTCACCTCTCTCAGCTTCTGGTGGCTGCCCGAGTCCCTTGGCTCATGGCCACGTCACTCTGACCTCTGCTTTGTGTTCACATGACTCCTCTTCCTCCCCAGTCCAGCCTCCTTTTGGCTCCTTCTTACGAGGATCCTTATGATTACATTTGCCCTTCTGGGATAATCAGCGTAATTTTCCATCCCAGCATTCTTAACTTACTCACTTTCGCCTTGTAAGATAACACAGGTCCTGGGGATGAGGCTGTGGACATTCTGGGGCCATGAATCAGCCTGCCCCTTATCTAATAGTTGAAGCCTGAGGTCCTGGAGGAGGGGAGAGAGAGAAGCCTTTGGCTGCCTTTGCATGCAGAGCCCCAGGCCTGGCCAGCGTCTCAGAGCAGGGGCGTTTCTCTGTGTCCTTAACCCAGGCATTTCCGAGCCTCGCTGTGGAGCTCTGGGGCCTGGCCTGGCCCATCAGGTGATGGCTGGGGCTCTTGCACCAGATTTGGCCAGTGTCCTGCCCTGCCCAGCCCAGCTGGCAACTGCCAGCTTACTGAGTTTCAGCTAAAGGCCTGGGTGCCTCAGGGTTTGATTCCCTGGGTCCTCTCAGCTCCTCCTCCTCCTCATTTTGCCTGGTGCCTGCAGCCTGGGACCAGAGGAATCCCACAGAGAAGCACTGGTGAAAGCCGAGGCTGCTGGCTGGCTCCGGAGGCGTGTTTCACACTGTGCGCACCCTTGGCAGGGGCCCCAGTGCTCTGTCGCTCTTTGGCGGGCCACCTAGCCAGTGGCTGGAGATGCCAGTGCAGTGACGTGGGCTCATTTGGGAGGCCATTCTCTGAGGTCCAGCGTTATCGGGTCAGACTTGGCATGGCTCTCTCTTCTACAGACAGTTAACTAATGCTCTGTCTTCCCTTCCCTTGGACTTGTGCTGGGAATGTCCCCCAAGGAGCAGTACCCACACGTGTCTTCAGGTTACATGTGGTACTTTGGTGCTTCCAGTGTTTAATGAGCAGGAGCAGTGTGCCTGGTTGCCTTGTTGGGCATGGGCTCCAAGTGCTGCGCCTTAGGGGTCCCCAGCACAACAGACGGAGATGTTTCTGGGTGAGATATGCAACTTACCACATCTGTGGCATTTGTGCTTCACATGTGTCAGCCTGTCAGGACAGGAGCAGCTGGGCCTGCATTATTCATGGGGACCCCATGAACCCTGCCTCCACACCCCAGGCACTCTCCTGCATGCTGTGTCTACATGTTAGACCAGAAGGACAGGTGTCCCACAGCCGGTCCCCGCACAGAGGCCTCCTGGGGATGCACAGGGTCCTGATGGCAGATGAGAAGTGCAGAGTCCCAGCCTCGGAGGGATGGAGCTGCAGAGACAGCTGAAAGGGACAAAGGGCTCTTCTTCAGAAGCAGAAACTGGATTCAGGCCTGAGGCTCAGACACTGCCAATTTGCGCTAGGTAGAGGCCCCATCTCCTCTCCGAATCTTCTGCAGGTCAGCAAACACTTCAGCTAGATCCAAGCCTGGAGCGTTTTCTATGAAAATTTCCAATTTTCCTTGACCCATTTTTCTTTGAAATTAATACCAAGCAGCGCTGTGCACTTGGCCCTGCAGGAACGCTCAGCTGGGTAAAGGTGCCACATTAAGTGGAAATGTTGGTGTCTGCTCCCTTTTTCTCTGGCTCTCAGGCTCTCTCTCTCTCTCTCTCTCTCTCTTTCTCTCTCTCTCTCTCTCTCTCTCTTACACACACACACACACACACACACACACACACACACA